GTCCCGATGCCTCGTCACGAAATCCTTGCTCCATCCCGACGATGACCGAGTTAACTCCGGAAATACCGTGTCGCCTTCGCTCGAGAGGATCAAAGACAACGAACCGTCGTAAAAAGCGGGAGGAACAGAGTTCTTGTGAATATTGGTTTATCCTTTGACTCGTGGATTCTCTCACAGCAGTCACTGTGCCTATTTCCCTTTGCCTTTAATAATTCACTGGAAGGTAATAGTAAAATTTAAGATGAGAAAATGATATTCATATCTATTTATATTTTGTACCTTTAAATATAGTACAAAGAATATTTTTAGAAAATTCTAGTAACCGATACCTGAGATTTCATATTAAGAATTGTTCATTTCAAAAACTCTTGATATCATTTGAAAAATATTATATTGTTATATTCTTAAATTTTTGATTTTCCTTGACACAAATTGCATGAGCAGCGAATGTAATAATCCAAGGGTAGCGTTGCTCAACTTCGTTCATTAAAATATTTAATATTATAAATACTGTCGAAACGGAACCTGTCAAGTCGCAGAACAAAATGTGTGTGCCCCCGTAGCGCAACGTGTACAGTGCAAAGGATTAATACATAGTGGCGGAAACAGGAAACCCGCGATGCGGCTCGCGGATCCTCCCCGGAATCCGTTGGCCCAGTTTCCGTTCCCGACTGGCCGCAAACTCATTTGCAATTCCTATTTTCCGTACGGACGTTCGAGTTAATTAACCTTGAACGTCGTCGCTGTGACCAGCTCGCACCGCTGTACAACTAGACCCCGCCGGTTAATTGGTTCTCGAAACCCCGGCACGTTAATAATCCTTTCGTCGGCCGTTTCGTTGGTCGCGTACTGTTCATTGCTCGGGAGAAGAGCTCCTGAACAGCACAGGTCCTATGTGTTTTGTGTGTAGTTTCAATTAGTTACGTGTTACTGTATCGAGAAACAACAAATTAGTAGCGAATATGAGATGAGAAAAGATTCGTACCAAACACATATTGAAAATTAGTGTGACTTGTTTACAGTTTCGATTGGTTACGCGTAACCTTATCGATGAATAGGAAATTAGTATTGTAAATGAGAAGAGAAGATACGTGCCAAACGCATATTGAAAATTAGTATGTTTTGTTCGTAATTTTGATTGAATATGTATAACTGTATCGACGAACAGCAAATTAGTATAGAGAATTAGATTGGTACAGACGAAAGCTGCCCAATTAGACCTGCGCTCTTTCCAGAGGTCTTCTCCTGCGCAACGAAGAGTATGTACGTAGGTACAGTGTCCCTTTCACCGGCAATGCAGCGCCTGGCCACGCGTAATTTGTTATCGGCTCACGCCACGAGCAACACGATCCCGCGCACACCCGTCCTTGTGACCCACTATCCGACCTTTAATCGCGCCGACACAGGATGCGTTTCTTCGATTAAAACTTTCTAAAAATTGCTCAGTGGTTGCAGGCTAATTTCGTCCGCGTTCGCCTCGCCACTGCCGGAATTCAAGTTCCGTTGATAAAGGGGATATCCCAGGAACGGGGTGATAATAAGATTGAAAGAGGAAAAACACGGGACTTGTCTCTGGTTTTCTGTCGTATTCCTGTGGTCAATGAGTTCTCTTCTTCCCTTGAGTTTAGAGGGTTGATTTATGGTGAAGTAGAATTAGGTAATCGGTAAAGTTTCATTTCTCCTAAATTGAAGACTTCCCAAAATTTAATTTGCTCCCGAATTAAGGAATTTCAGAATTAGACTTTGCGCAAATGAACAAATTTCACACTATTCTCTCCTTATTTTCTTTTTTCTGCCAGCATAATTAGATAAACTTCTATCGATAGGAAGAAATTCCTCGCATACCTAGATAACATTTTGAATTGCAAGGAGAATTTCAGTATGTCGACCACACGTGCTACCGTTGAGCCGAACACTATTCGTTCAATGGTAATAAGGTTCGAGTCGCTGAACAGTCGAAATAGAAAAGAAAAGAATTCGTGAAGCGGGCACGCGCCGGGAAACCGTAATAGAAAACTCGTTAGACCGTTGGGTCACGAGCCGAGGAGCGTACCGCATCGATGAAATCGTATTTTCCCGAGGCGGAGCCGGATCGAGAGGGGGAGAGAAGGGAATAAATGCATCGTAAGCAGCAAGCTCGCCGCGAATTCGTATAACATTGGCAAATCTCGATACCCGCCGCAGCTCGAGCTCGTCCGGTGCACGCGTTTTAATGGGTAATCCTGTTGTAGATGAAAATAAACCGCGTGACTTTTCGAGTCGATGCTTCCAGATAACGCCGCTAAGCTGTCCAATCTCGTTAACGAGCTGACTATACCGCGGGGGGCACGCGGACTGGCGATGCTTTAGGCAAACTCATCGACGATTCGGTTTGCATAAGATCACTGCGTCGATCGTGCTGTGCACAGAAATATTTCTGTTTCGATGCGTGTCGATAAATTGTATCGTGGTAAATCCCTTAACCGAGTTAACCATTTCCATTAGAATGGAGATTTATCGCAAAGATTAAAAAAAGTAATGTACATTTCATTGATAGATTCTATAAAAGCTAGAGTCTATAAAATGTAAAGTTTATGGAAGATAGAGTCTATGAAAGATAGAGTTCATAAAACATAGATTCTATAAAATATAGACCATAAAGCAGAGTTCATAAAAGGTAGATTCTATGAAAGGTAAAATTTATAAAAGCTTGCGTCTATAAAGGATAGGTTCAACATCTAATAATTAATTACTCCCTTCTCTAAACAAACTACTGTGTCACTGATATCTTACCCTTCACCCCCCATATTACGACTTAATAAAACAAAGAATTACTCACTTCCTTCGACCAGAAACTAAATATTATTCTCCCCTTATCAATTATTACGTGTTAAAGTAAACATAGACATAGATAACCACGGAATCCTTCTTTCTTCCCAACAAATTATCAACGACAAAGTAATTCCATCCAACGCGGTTACGAAAGACATCATAGGACAAGGGGTTAACTGTTTTTCTTCTTATTTTATTTCTTCCCGTTCTATCAGTCACGACGCGAATTGTCTTTCCGTCGGCGTTTCGCAAGAACAGAAACGTTTTCACCATCGATTTGCTTTCTTCCTTTCTTCCGCCCCCTTGGGACAAGTGTTTTTATTATTCCGTTCCTCTTCGGGTAGCGTTTCGTACTTGGCGACTCCATCCGCTACCCGCAAGGTCGATATTCCGGTTCCTCGCGGCGAGGAGGGTGCGCGACGCCGATGACATTTACGAGCGGGGCCGCTTATGGTCGCCAAGTGGCACCGGAAACTCGCGAAAATCCCAGAATTTCACCTGCACACCTGATTATTATGCACTCGCGTCGTTCCGAGTTCTTTTTTGCTCTCGCTGCATAACTATTTGGCAGAGGCGAACTCTTCGATGCGAGACGACCAGCGTGACTTTAGATCCGCGAACCTTTCTCCCGTTATGCAATTTCATTATTATTCGCTACCTGTTTACAAACAGCAACTTGTACCGTTGGTTTTATTCAGATTTCGAGGAAATTCTTGGTGGAATTTCATACCTGGAACGCGAAATTCAGTGCCAATGAATTATTCGAGCTACGGCAGTATATAATTTCCAATTTCCTTGTTTTAGAAATTAGACGTATGATGAACTAAAAGTACCGTGGTAAAAGTTTCGAATATTTTGAACAATTTTCATCTGCCGAAGATTGAATGGAATTATTAAAAGAGAGAAGAAATTATTAGGTAGCTAGATTTCATTGTAAATTATTCATTTCGAGCGATAAACAATTATTTTTTCAATCAAGAATATATTTAAGATTTTTGAGAATATTGCTTGTTTAATAAATATATTGTTACTAGTAAATTAAAAAAATGTATACTATTGTTGTTATTGGTAAAATGAGGACAAATGGGTCAAGAACACTATGGTGGATAATATTCTTCTGCTTCAACTGGATTATAACTCAAGTTATGCACCCAGTTACTTCATCTTCAGCCGAGGGTGTGTCTAAACCCTTCTTACACCTGATTCTCCTAGGAACCACGTGCGCGGTTCGACTAGCATTCGACAGATAACCGATCGTAGGGCTTCCACTTGCTATATACATTTGTCAATCGGGAAGAGTTTACTCATCTGTAATACGGCATGGGAAGCATAAACAATGACGACGCGTAATTCAGCCCTTTGTGTGACTCGATACGCGACACGCGCGTGTTTACTGAGCGGAAGTTTCCTTACCGGAAGCAGAGTACTCTGAATATTCATTTAAACCGTTCATCGCTACTGTCAGACCTAGACCAACGGTATCGTTCGGCGTTTGTGAATCATTGTTCTTTCTCTTATCGGTTAGTCTCTGTCTAGCTCCTCGAGGAAAGTGAACTCGATCGAACTGAAGCTATTCTGTCAATTAATAACGGTAGATGTCAACATAAATGCAGTTTTCTGCTTCCCATAACTATTAAATACGAACACTATTCTTCTGGAATTTTTGTTCGAATAAACTAACATAAACAGTAATATAACAGCAGTATTAAGTTGAGATTGATAATCTCAGTGTTACAAGAATAAGATAGTACATACATAGACAAGTTTTTCTTTTATTATGAAACAACATTTTAAAGTTGTCGGAGATATTGTTGTCCCGTGTAAATCAAGGTATTATCAATGACCAGTTAACAAAAATGTGATAGATGTCTTGGATGACTAAGAAAATTGCCCGAAAAATGAACTTTGAGGTCCACAAGAAGCTTAATGCAGTTCAAAATGGAACAGTTTCATTGTACATTCAAAGCTTCATTCAAACAAGCAATGAGCTACGTACATTGGTAACGATTTTTTTGTACTTTACTAAAATTCAAAAGTGTCCTCGAAAGACTCGGTATGCGGCTGAAAGGTTAAGTAAACGCATTAATGCTGAAGGAATAGAAACTAGCAATTCATTTTGTTGAATTTACTAATTAGACCTAATCATTGAAGCAAGTTTTCTCACCTGCGTGATTATTTCTTTGTTTCAGGGAGGAAGTGCAGGAGCACACGGTCAGGTGGAACGCAAGGTTCGAGTTTCTCTGCAAGATGAGTGCTAACGCGTCGACCTGTGTCCTGGACCCCTGCATTTTAAGGATTTCCGTCAGAAAGGTAGCTAACTTTGATCTATGGTTTTTCTTGTGATTATCTCTATATTTCCTTCAATTCTTTCCCGCTCGATGCTAATCGGTTTTATCGATTTCGTAGGAATTGAAGGGAGGCAGGTCCTTCCAGAAGCTCGGCTTCACCGACCTGAACCTCGCGGAATTCGCAGGAGCTGGACTCTGCAGAACGAGGTACCTTCTGGAAGGCTACGACGCGAGACACCGGCAGGATAACTCCATGCTACGCGTCGCGATCAAGCTGAACATGCTGTCGTCGGACATCCTGTTCAAAGTGTAAGCCTCAAATACCAGATCGAATATGAGTTTAACTATATTTTTTTCTCAAAGAAGATGCATGATTAGTTTTACTAACACAAAAACTATCGGGCAGTAAAATTAAGATTTATTGAGAGTTCAGTTTACTTATATGTTAGTTTGTTACGTATAGATCAATTTGTTTAATAATTCCTCAGAAAAGCATCTGTTTGTTCTAGTGGTTCTAATGTTAAATACCTATCAACGTCTATATAAAAATCTAAAAGCATATCACTGTTTTCAAACTCTTGATAGTCAATTGATAGTTAAATTCAACATTTAATTGAATCATTCTTTCAGGCCCTCTCCGTCGTTGAAGCAAACGCAGCTCGCGGTGCCCGGTGTGCCAGGAGTTCCAGGCGTGACGGCGGACGAAGTGACCGCGTCGGACAGATGTACCAACCGAGAGGATTACGTCTCCAGCGGTTCGCTAGCCGGTAGTATAGCTAGCGCTAGCAGCGGTTTCGGCAGTCTTCCTAAAAAGAGGCCTGCCCTCTTTTCCTCGGGTAATACTAGAAGGGCTGCCCACCGTTTTCCTCGTGCCGGAAACCATAAGACTGTATATTCGACTCTTAACCGTCCCTTGTGCCGATTGATCGATGATAAATGATGCTAACAATCTTGCACTCGCTAATAAGAATATTAATTTATTGATTTCTACCCGTGCACGGTTAAAACATACTTGATTTATGATTCCACCTTTTCATCCTCGCCTCCCCTTCTTATTTATCTTCATTTTTATCTTTGATTCAGTTGCACATTTTCTTTTTTCTTTAAGTTTCAAGTGATTCATTGCTTCTTCATGAACTCCATTCCCTTATTTTTTCAATAAAAGAATCCATGAATTTCACAGTTCATTTCTTTTGTTATATTGATCATTTATCATCATCTCAATCGGACGAATAAGGCACGGATGAGGGTTAAAAATATCCATCTCGTTGGTGAAAACACGCTTGACGGAATCCGATTTTTTCAGAGCTCCTCAGTGGGACAGAGTCGCACGAGCCCATGACTCTGAGCGAGATCATCCCGTCGGCTCTTCCAGTGGTGGAGACTCTGGCTGAAGCGCACACGGAGTCGGGCCATTCCCGCAACAGCAGCAACACCAGCCAATTGAGCAAAGGATCGGGCTACGGGTCCTTGAATTCACACAGTCAGCACAGTAGGCAGAGCAGTAGTGGTGACAGTGGCCACATTAGGTAAGGCCACCGCGGCCTCACGGTCAACGAAAAGACAAAGAAAAGATCCTCCACAAATGATGATAGTCGACCGGTGAAACCGGTCGAAGAGACAGTGGCCCACCCCAAATTACCGTCCAGAGTTCTCTTCTTTGATAACTTTTATTTCAGTAACACAAAATTTCTCGAGCACTCTCGCGACTCATTTTCAATTGCTTTACCGCTCACTCCGTATTCCGGTTGCTGAGAATCTCTAATAATCGCAGTCTCTCAAGTACTTTTCTAACCTTTTCGATTTTTGCGTGGACGAAATAAGGGAACATGAAACTCCGACGGAGTTTCCATGGAGGAATTTTTGTGATGGGTAGGTACCATGCACTGATGGTATCTTGGCCGACTAGCCGCTAACTGAAAAGTGCTCGATTCGGTGGCTATAGCTATAATGATGCCTTAGTTTCGACTTATTATTGTTGTTGGTCTAATTATGTAACTATTTCTAATAATAGTTCTGCTATTATATTCTACAGATACTTTGTATACAGTGTTAGCGAGCAAACAACACCCCTGTGCCTTTTTAAATTGATGGTAGTCGGCCAACATCTCACAGGTGTATGGTACATACCACCACACCAGCCGCTCTTGATCAGCCGAATACGAATCAAAAGATAACCGGAAAAGGAAGCATACACAGACACACAAACATACACGCAGCAAGAAATAATATAGCGACGTTCGAGCTCTAACAACCAGCTACTAACTTTGGAATTTTGCGCCACATTAGAAGCAAATTCGACGATCGCCAAGACACAAGCGATCGGGCTTACGATCTCGCTTCCTGATACTCTGTACGCTTCACTATCTCGAGATTGATCTGTCTATAGTTTGAATTAGTGGTCTCGAATGTTTCTGTATCGCCTGACCGAACAATCGTACACGACATTAACGCTGAGTCTCTTTCACGACTGACTTATGGGGAAGGAACTGACATCTAACATCGGACACGTGTCACAGACCTAGCTCACATGGCCTAGCGAATGGCTGCCACCGTCAAAAGCATCTAGTTCTCAGAGGAATACTTCTTGATTTTTTTTTTCTTTAACTAGAGACTCTGGATTCTCTCTTCCCACGTATGATGCAAGATGTTCCATAATTGAAGGTGGTACAATATGATAGGGAGTGAAGTAAAAAAATAAGTCGCATATGTATAAGAATATTTTTCCACGCAAGGCATCGATTTGAAAATAATCGAGTTCAGATATTTCGCGTGGGTTAGTATTTACAAGAGGTGCAAATGATACGTCATGGGTAAACTTGAACCCTGAATGTCGATTATTTTTTAAAAGAAGCTTCAGGTGAAAGTATTTTATTCTGCTGCATCAGAACATAACTTAGCTCAGATATTTAAGAAAAATAGAACTTATTTTATTTTTAATGGAAACAAATTTTAAAAATATTTCTTGGAGTTATCTTTAAATGTAGATGTAAGTACATCTTGCCCAAGCTATCTTTACTCATAATAATAATCAAAGAGCAACACGAAGTTATGAGTCAATCTGATACATTCTCGACTTATTTTTATCATATACAAAATCACCCTTTTCCCAACTGTATCACCAACTACGGAACATCCTGTACACAGGGCGAGTCACTTAAGATTGCAGCCCAAAATATCTCTGTTGTTCTTAATGCCGCAAGAGAATTTCCAAAGAAACAAACAATCTGCCTTAGAAATTTTCTTCCATCATTGAAAACAACACAGAGATTCCAAGTTCCAGTCTCAAGCACCCCGGCCCGCGTAAAAATTTTTTCTATACTCGATTCCATTCTCTTTTCGTTTAAACAATATCGCGTCGCAACTCGCGAGTTTATTATTATTTTTGCATGCTTCAATATTTGTGTTGTGATCTTTATAGGTCACCCTCCTGGCCGGTATGGGCTCCACGTATTCCTAACCCCTCGCAGAACCTACCCGCTCCGAGTCATCAAGCGGACAAGCCCGAGGCTTGTCTCGATACTGATTCCCCGTCCTCGTCTTCCTTGATGCTTCTGGATCCACGAAACAGGTTCTGGCCTGGGTCGAGTCCCGTCTCATCCAGAAACAATAAAACAAACCCTCGGAACTCGAAGACGTCTTCTAGCGTTGCGGCGCGTCTATCATCGAGCGATCAAGTAGAGATTGCATCTAGAAACGGTATCTCGAACAACGTAGGCCACCTTGGTCCCTGTAACGACGAAATCGTTGACGAAGAGGTGGTCAACGTGTTCAAGGTACCTGGACCTCAAGACGTGCCACGACACTCGCGGAAGAATTACGAAGCAAATAGTTTTGATGCAAGAAACGAACGCAATGCTGTTGTAAATTCGACTGCTATAGATAGAAACGGGAAACCCCAGAATAATAGCGTGAATGCGCCAGTCGCAAAGCCGAGAATCGGTCAGCCAGGTTGGAGGAACTTTTCCAAGACCTGCGACTGCATCGAAAAAGGCAAAACCAGCCCGGTGTTGCGATTGGCCGATCAGGCCAGAGCCGTGTCCTCTCCCGATCCTCTTCATAGGCCCGATAACCCCAGAGCTTCGCTACGTTCCGCGACGACCGGTCAAACCCTCAGGTAGGTTTCACTCGTCAACGAATTTCTCTTTCTTTTTTTTGGGGGGGGTCATTTGGGTTGTTTTCCGTACTTTTTTCTAGTTACATTCGTTGTCCTCGATCTTCTCCCCTTCGAGACGACTTTACGCAATTGGGGGTGTTACTGTTTGTTCACTTACCGAACTTTTTTGGTAACTGTCGACGAGCTTCGACGAATTCCTCGCGCAACCTGTTGTGCTGTATTTATAGTGGACGGGTTGTGGAACACCACTCTCGTGTACCCTGTTTAACTGACCCTTCTTCGTTTTTTTGTCTTACGTTTCAGTTGGAATTCGCGTTTTTTGTTGGGAGCACACGATTTTTGTTATTGTGAAATGTTGAACATTTGTGATTTATTATATAGATAATATTAGACAAATTAGATAGACAATCTATAGTACTGTGATCTATAATACTGTAATTTGTAATATTATAATGTATAATATTATAATTTATAATATTGTGATCTATAATATTATAATCTATAGTATTCTAATTTATAATATTATAATCTATAATATATTTTCATATTCAAAACATAAATCGTATGTTTCCATCGCGGTTGCTTTAATTTCTTCCACGCTTGTGTTATCTGGTACTAAGAAGTTCCTTGAAACGATGCTTGGTAACGAGACAATCAACGACCGAGACAACACGTGCAGCATCTCGACACAGGCTAACGCTTGATCATTAGTCAGTCCGCGATCATCGACCGACCACGACAGGCACACACAAACATATACACACTTAGCCACTGCTTCGCTTCATTAACCGTGTAAATCGATTAGAACTGCTAAATTCGAGGCGATCATCGACGACACCAAACCTCCATTCCTCGTGAAACCACGTCAAACGGGATTGCCCTTCAAAAACAGTCCTCAAAGTGTTGTCCTTTTTCGTGGCTGAAAGAATTTGCTTACGTTATTGTATCTTCACGGTTCCCAACTCTATAACGAACAACAATGTAATTTAACATGTGAAAGTCCGATTTAGGCCAACTGTATTTATATAATATAACAGCTTCGCTAGAATGGAGGATGTATTCCGTTGAATGTAAACGCAACAGAGCGATACTGGCCTCAGTGTTCAGACTGTTATGCATGAGAATTGCGTAACAGCTACGGGGCGAATAGAAACTCATCACTTTCAAATTTCAATTTAAACTTTTTCTTAATTTTAAATTGAAATGATTATTCGCTCACATTCTGTACAGTGGGATTTGCATTGGATGGTGCATAGTTTAGAAACATAAGCGGAATGCATCCAGGAAACGTATAGAGGGTAACTCTGAACACTATAATTAACATATAAAGGAAAGAGGATGTATTTCCCTCGAAGCTTCCGCAATTTCAAGAGATCAGTTTATGTTATGAAACAAGCTCCGACTATATATTACAAAGAAAGGGGTTGATCATCCTTCGGCAACCCCAATTGCAGTGTTAACGATAGAACTACCGAGCGTTTGACCCGACTTTTCAAAATTTTCTCTATAAAACCGATAAGCCTGCGTTTATTAAGATTTCAGTTATCTTATATTTCGGTCCGGGTATTATTAAATCTTCTTTAATAATTTTTCAAAGTATCTGTACCTTTTCAGTAATTACGACAGAAGAAATTAAAAATGGGCCATTTTTACCCATTTAGTAATTCTAGTGTCAAAGGTCTCGAGTCTCTTAAGGTTTTCAACTAAACAGCTCAATATCAAATCTCTTTTGACATATTAATGTACATGTTAAAGACCAAAAGAGAGAGATACATCCTGAGTATAAAATTAGGTAACGGCAAAGAAAACGGGAAAGGAAGAAGCGAGAAGGGGCGGAGGGAAGGAAGTGTAGCTTTGCTTCCAGTTTGGATGGCTTTGTGAATCCTTGCAGGGGTATTGGCGGAGGCCACCGGAAGTTGCTGGACGGGGCGGGGGGCAAGCTGGCTACGGTCGCCACCAGCCCAGCGGACTCCGAGGAGTCCTCTTTAGGAGTACCGGAAGTCGTTCCACCGAGCTCCCAGCACCGAAACAGCATAACCCCACCGTCAGTCCATGCTTTCGTCTCTTAATCTGTCCTTCGTCTCTTTGTGTCTTTTATATTATTAATGCGCGTGTGCATTGTATATCTGTCTTCTTCTTGTTGCGTATATAATGTGCGATGTTCGTGCTTGAACTTACTCACTTATTCAGTTACTCACTTATTCAGTTACTTACGTATTTATTTACTTACTTATTTACTTACCTCGCTTTGACCTCCCGCGTTGACGATAATGCGAATGCATACACCTTTGCTGATCGATGTTGACACCTCGCGGCGCTTTCTTGAGTTTTACTCGGGATTTCCCGACCGTAAATTGTTCATTTTGTTTCTTTTAACGTTGCTTTTATCGTTTACGCAAAAGCTATTGCTGACATTTATTAGAAATTGCTGACATTTATTAGAAATTGCTGATGGAAGAAAGTTAAAGCGTTCCCGTTGAGAAAGTAGAAATTAATTCGAAGGCACCAGCTTCATTTTCGAAAATTTAAAGCTTCGATTTCAAAAATGCAAAGTTTCAATTTCAAAAATTCAAGGCTTCAAAATTCAAAGATACTTTAATGTATTTGCATTTGTAATTACATAAATTAGACATTTTGTGAATTTACATTAGGAATTTATGAAAATTGCTCTCACCCTTCAACCGAATCAGTTTACTCGTCGAATCGGCACAATATTTCAAAACCTCTGCAAAATAGAAATATCATGGAGTAAATTTTATCGAGTTATTCGTTTCGTGTATAATTCTGTTTATTCATCTCAAATAGAAGTCGCAGTGTACCATTGCACCGACAGTTACATTACGTTAATTTGTGAATTTTCTGTCAACGCAAGGTCTTCGCGAAAAGAAGCGAAAAATAATTATTCGTCCACGAAGTGTTAAACGTCGGTAAACATTTACTTTGCCGAGCTATTTACTAAAACGACTGATTTATTGAGCTCGTGAGCAGCAACGTCGACGAATTAATTTCAGCATCGGTGCGTTTTCAGAAGGTTTCGCCTGTAAAATCCATCGCAATCTGCCGATGTGTCGCATTAATTAACCGCTTCCAGCTTTCTACAACATCAAAGAATGCTATACAGTCGTTTGAACGATTGGTTCATTAATTAATACACCATAATGCTTCGGAAAAAGCATGATTGATTCCGACAGTTAATAAACTGGTGATCAGTTAATACTTTTTCTGTTTAATTTTTCTGAAAAACAGGGAACAAGAATCTGATTCTATTCAAGACAAATAGAAAAAAAGTAAAGTAATCCTTTTTCCATCAAACAATGAGATTCATCACGTCACGATCCATAAAGTGGTATCCAATAACCCATTCGTTCGCCGGTCGCGTTCGTCATTTTGATTTCCATACATATAAATAGTTTAACATTTTCTCGTGATCGGTTGGTTCTGCCGCGCGATTGAAAGGTCAAATCGCACATTTTTCTGTTTCGTCGAGACGCAGACGTATAAATTATTTATCAATTTCTTACCACTTGTTACTCGCCGGGAGTCTACTTCCTGGAAGAATAATTTTCTGTTAGTATTTGCATAGGAGGAGTGTTTCGAGCGACTAAGCTTTGCACGCACCATGCGACTGCTGGATCTGTTCAAAATCTGCATCCTATGATGCATTTCTTCTTTCGGAGTTAGAAAATAATGGCAAGAGTTATTGTTAATATAGTTATTGAAAATATGGTGGGAGCTTCATAATGAATTGAATATGTAATTAGTACTTGCTCAATAAATCGATTAGCTGGTACATTAATTCATTGAATAATTGATTAGAAAAGCATCTGCGTTTTTGATCATTCCAAAAGGAGTTCAAATGAATGATATTGTTCATGGCTTCACCATGGGTTCACCTATGTGATAGTTCTAATGATACATATTTTTATTCGACATCCATTACCTTACAAATTATAATCAAACATTATCAAATGCCGATTATTAGAAACTATCACACAGTCAACATGCTAAGCCGTTATAAAGAGTCTCCATTCTTGAACAGGTCTGGCCTAATCCTTCGAATCGCTTCAGGACACATGATCAATCCAAACTACATAGTTTGTTGCATGACATATCCAGCGATCTTCAAGCATTTAAGAATTCCTAGAACCTTCTGCACGATAAAGTAAATGAGGAATATCGGTAAAATATACATTACGATCCGCCATTGTATATTTAGGATAATTCCGAGTGAGATGGACTGAACTCATTTAAACGTTCATATATTTTTCATTGTTTTTGTGATATATTCAGTCTTGTATATATATATATGTATACATTTACATTTCTGTATATAAAAATTTATATGTATATATTTTTTTCTTCTGTTTAATGTCAATGACATTTACGATGTAGTAGCTTTTTTTTAAATTTCAAATCACTTTTATTACAATTACATTCATCAAAATAATAATTATTATTATTTAAATTACAACAAATGAAATTACATTTCATCGTGCAAGAGGATCTCTCGACTGCTTCTTGCACACGCCATTTTCGTTTGCCGATCCTGCGCCGCTTCTTCGCGCCCCCGCGAAATACCACCGAACATTTAGAACCGTTTCGTCCGTGACACGCTTCTCTCGACCTTTTCGTTTCCGTTCGCGTCGCAGCACCTCTCGCATTCCTTTCCATTCTTTTTTATATCGAGGAAAGCTCGTCACTGCACGCGGTGTGTCGCGGATATCAACCCCCGCGGACGCGGACATCTTTGATGACCGCATTGGATGGCTATGTTTGGGACCTTTTTACCTCTGACCAGGTATCCAAAGCCATTTATCGAAGAGACACGCACAAAAATATAAATACAGCTTGATACAGATTTTCTTTTCATTTTGAAAATTTCCAATGAACAAGTTCTGATCAACGCAGCAAATCCTGAGACAAAGGGTTAGAAGTGTTTGGCCAAGTAAAGTGTCCAGCTAAGTACTAGTTAAGTATACATCTAAGTAGTTCCGTTAAAGAATCAGTCAAGTGAGAAACATTTAAAAATCAAGTTGAAGATTGATTTTGAACCCAAACGAATTCGGTCGGAGAATTAAATGAAGCTTCCGATAGCCCAGAAGAGAAGGTCCCAGTCACCGCCGTCCAAGGGTTAGCCACCAAAAATTCGTTAGAACCGCCTATGCGCCAGCGGTGCCGCGCGCCTCGCGTCTCCGTCGACGAGCAATTCCGCGGAACAATGTAACCTTTCGTGCCTCTCGGTTTACGAAACCGTCACGTTGCGTTCTCCGTTGAAGCCGGTTATATCAATGTAATGCATATTCATTCGCACCTCGCTTAGTTGAACGTTGATCCGCGCAGTTGGTCCGTTGCGTGTCGATGGGATGCGTTGTTTCTTCGCCAGCGCGCGTCTAGGTAAACAATCATTTAAAGATCGAGGACACCGGTCAGAATGGCGAACGCTCACGGCAATCGTGTGTTTTTTCCGTGTTCTTCGCAGAAATCCTTCCGGCGGATCCGGGCTCAGCGAGACGGGATCTTTGGACCGGGCAAAGGCCGCGCTCGAGCGCAGGAAAAAGGCCGAGGACGGCGCCGGCAACCCTATCCTCTGCAGGGTCGAGGTGACCAGGCCGAATCCCGACTCACTGATCGACGAGCTGATAAAAGCAACAAATCTAGAGCAAACGGATCTCGAGAGCTCCGAGAGTACGTATCTAAGTATATTATACAGATTTCATCAAACGTGATACAGGGTGTACTACTAGGACGTCATTTGATGGCCACGGAATTCGGCTGATCGATCAGTTTTCATTTTTTCTCGGGCAATTTTCTGTTGACTTTGTTTCTTCATTTCTGATATTTTCGATCGCTGTTTTACTACTTGGCAGTACGGTTATACGTAGCCAATGAGTTCTGCTACACAAGTCATCTCCCAACTGTATCTAATAACTGGGACAAGGTGTTGAAGGTGGAAAAGAAACTCGAGAAGGAAATCTTTATAGTGCTTAATAAGTTCTATCGTAGTGTACCTTCTTTATAAATAAAATTGTTTTTTTTCCGCGAAGAAAGAATTAAGATATTATTGAGAGTTGATCATTTATTAAGACAGACTTTCATTTATTAAGACAGTCAAATGAAGAAATTAATCTGTATGCAATCGCTTTTTTTTTCAATTAACTCAGGACATTTTATCTTGTCATTGTTAGTTAAGTAATAGATGATGGTGATACACAAATATGTACACGTTTTTACCGGCACTTACTACATCACACATGACAAGTAAAATCAAGTAACACTTTATGTTGACGGAGCAACATAAGGTAAAATTGAAATTGAAAACTCGCTGAAGAAACAAGCTTACAAATGATCAACGTGGCAATTCACGTGCTCGCATTTGAACAGTTTTTCCTTCTCTTCTATTTGCGATGCATTTATTTTCAAATTTACAGTTTCATCTTTCACGATGACGTATGTTCGTTTTTGTAAGAGCGATAGTGCAACTAGCACTTTGCATAGTAACGCAAAGTAACATTGTAAAGTAACATTATGAACATAAGTGCAAAGTTTAAGTATCGACAAAAGAATTTTAAAGATTATCCATTCATTTTGTAATTCTTTGATTCATCCTTCAGTTAATAAAGGAATTCATTTGTCCTTTAATCAGCCTCATAAAAATAGATCATTCCATAAAATCATCAACAAGTGCATTAGGTAATTTTATTGCGATCGATGTAGTATAACACCTGTTGAGCAATTATACGCGATCTATTCCTCTCAATCACATGCCGCACGGAACAACTATTACAAAGGAATCGGAGAACGGAAAACATAGTCTACGTCGAAAAAAACATGAATAATCATATTACGAGTCATTATATCGAATATTATTATACGTTGTAGCATGTTTCATTGCATATCAATTTAGAGGAAACTGGCGATAGGTTACATCATTAACTAAGATAATTAAATTCTTTTTTTCCGTTTATTAAGAAAATTTCTTCGATTTTATTACGTCTAATATTAATAGCATTGTTACAAAATATAAACATTAATAAAATGTAATATTCTAGTATTGTGTAACAATACAATACATCTAATATTACATCAACACTCTAATAACTCTTATTTAAACAAGGAAAATCGTTAACATTCCTCGCTCGTATCTGTTCCAGTGACCGGGCTCCAACTGTTTATCAGGAAAATCAGTCCTCCTTGATTCTATAATAATAATACCACTATATAACAATGTGACATATCTATCATTAACTCGACATTTTAATTTTAATTTAAACAAGGAAAATCGTTAACATTCCTCGCTCTGTTCCTCGTATCTGTTCCAGTGACTGGGCACCAACTGTTCATCACGAAAACCAGTCCCCCTTGATTCTATAATAATAAATACCATTATACAATAATTTAACGTATATCATTAATTCAACATTTTAATTTCAATTTAAACAAGGAAAATCATTAAAATTCTCCTCCCTCGTATCTGTTCCAGCGACCGGGCTCCAGCTGTTCATCGCGAAGGACGGCACGACCGCACTAGGTAGCCACGAGGTGAAGAGCCAGATGCCCGCCGGTGTGTTCAAGCAGGTGGTGATGGAGGAGAACAACAGGTAACACGAAGCTAACACGACGAGGAGGCAGTACGCAAGACAATCCAGCGCCACGTTCTCGTTGGCCCTGGTGCCA